GTTTGTATCGTTTTACCTTTCTTCTCTCTCTCTCTCTCTCTCTCTCTCTCTCGATTGAAGTAATTAAAAAATTCTTCGACACTCCATAAATTCCAGAATATTTTTCCTGCGACGTTCCCGTGGGAGGTCTAGGACGCGATGAAATTCTCGAAGAGCAAAGGGCATGGGGGGAGGGCCGAAAGGGGTTGAAAGCTTGATTGCAGGATCAATCGAGCGCCACTTAAAATTTCGGATAGTTTTACGGGCGACCGTCCTTCGTTAACGTTCGACTAATTTTATGACTGACTCAGCATCGTTCGATTCCAGCTACGATCCTTCTTTGATCGTGGCTAATGAAGCACGTCCACGGATCGGCCTGTCTTTTAGCATGCTCTGATAATCGTCCTTCTCGGAACGTCGGCCTGCGTCGTCATCGCTCCACGATTTACGCCTTTTCTGAAACTGCTCCTATCATTCCATTAAACGAGCGGAACTCGCCTATTCTTTCTTTCTTTTTTTTTCTTTCTCAAAATGTTTGACTTCCAAATGAAGAAAGCAAGCATTATGCAACGAGTGCACGGATTGAAATTCGTCGATTAATACGAGTCTACTGAAATACTATTTGTTGAAAATTTTTAAAAAAGTATCGAGAGTAGAGTTGGAACGGTAGCGAAGGGTGCAGTGATCCTCTGTCTGCTGTGCACGACTCGTAGGAGGCACTGTGCGTCGGATTTGAGGATCGCTGTGCTCTCTAACGATTCAGTTCACATTCGTGCATCAGGAATATTTGCATCGACGTCTAATTCTATGATAACGTCTTAGAAGCGTCGACTTTTTTCTCCTTCTTAAATTTCTGAATGTAATACCGTGCGAGCAAAGTAAAAATTTAATCATAACGGTAATAAGTGTCGAGTTGAGATGAATTGAAATATATTTGAAACAGAGACCAATCAATTCGATGTGCTCTTGTATCGAGTTTGCAAGACCTCTGATTCAATCGAATCTCCTAATTCATCGAGACGAAGGTTGATTAACGATTCTTCCTATTTGAATTATCACCTAAAATAGTATAATAATGATCGCTACCAAGGTTTTTAAACAAACGAACTCATTAGTTCACTGAATCGTGAACTGGAACTTAAATCGCGTATTTGCGTAACGATAATGCTCTCGAAACGAGGCTAATAGTAATGATGAGCAAACGTCGGCGGATAAAAAAAAAAATGTCACAATGAGTAATTACGTTCTCTCCACTCCGCTTAATTGCATCTTTAATTGCATTTTTCGTACTTTCCTATTTTATTCGTTTCGAACTCTCTTGGAAACTCGTAAATATCGTGGAATGCGAAATTCGAGTTATTCGATATGACGACGTATGAATATTTAAGTTAAAATAAAAAGTTAAATTATTTCGCTGTCATTCGTGAAATCTGGGTCAGGCAGGCTTGATAAGAATACGTTTTAGAATATGATAATTTGCGAGTGGTGATCGCTCGTATGTGAAAATAAATAAATAAATAAATAAATAAAACGAAATAACGATGATCGGTTAAAAACGAAAAGGAAAAAAATTAATCGCTCGCCGAGTTTTCCTCGTCTCTACTTTCGTTTATTTATTCGATGATTAATTATTATCGAATCTTGCAATTTGCATCACTTAAAGTTAAAAAGAAAGGAATCGATCAACTCGGGATGAACGTGACCAGGAATAATTATGGAATAAATCTTACGAGGTCAAGCACGAGTTTGAGAAGAGAAAGGGCCTGAAACAGAAGTAGATGAAAGATCGATGTTTCTCGAAGGAGGAAGTAATGGAGCGACACGTAGATCGATAGTGTGCCCCGGCGAGAAAACCGGTCGAGAGAACGTAGCTTCATAATCTATACGCAAAATCGTGCGTGGCATATAAATAAGTCGAAAAGAGGTCGTAATCCAAATTGTGATGCCATCATTTTTTTAACGTCAATTTAACGTGTATTATTATATTTAAATTATATAGAAAACGAATCTTCTAATTTCAATTTTATCATTACACGAATTGAAAATATTGCAATCGTAATTACGCATTGAATTGGATTTTGTGAAAATGAAAATTTTCCAAGAAATATTCTCCTATTACTTATTTAAGATCGATTATCAGTTTCAAAAAAATTGATTGAGATTAAAATCGTCGAAAGGAATCGTAATCGAAAATATAATTTTAAAAATCGATATTATAAATCAGGATCTGATAGACCTAGATCAGCTATGCAGTCGAGCAAAACATAAACCAATGTTATTCCATAATTTACGTAAGCCAACTGTAATACGCAAATAGCGGTTTAGATACATTAATTGACGATTGCAATGTTTGAACTAAATGCATCAGCAATATATTTTATCGAGTTTTTAATTCGATTAAAAAATCAATCTTGATAATCCAAGATAACTTTACTAATACCTTTATCGCTCGTTTTATGATATTTCAAGCTCGTTCTAACCTTTTGCAACAAGATAATCGCACATCATTATCATTCATTAAAACGATATTTCCTCGACATCTATCATCCCAATTATTTATTTTATTCTTATTTCAAAATATCACGTTACCAGAGAGAAATAAACGAATAAAAAATATTGGATCCACTATCTTCTATCAAACTATTCCTGACGGATTACCTGCCATCGATAGCTTCGTCGAAAATCTGAAATCTGACTGAAATCTCGTTCGTTCTATAATGCCGTTTCAAATTCCCATCCTATAACTTTATAACATGTAAGATACTTGTTCCAGCATGAAGAATTTCCCCTGGACTCTGGAGTGACGCACGTTCCCGGGGGTAAAAATGCGACGCATTACGTAAGGAACACGCGACTTGGACGGTCGATTACGTGGGCAGTCGATCCGGGCTCGTGTGTATCGATGAAAAACGACACGCGCGAACACTATGTATGCATCGCGATACATCGAATACATGCTCCATCAAGCGTAACGTTCCACGAGAATGTTTATACGCGAGGGAAGTATATGCGCGCCAGTTGTACTATTCCTTGGATACTTACATACCATTTACCTTGCGATCGTATATTAGGGGCAATAATTTGCTTCGATAGAGATAGCCGCTTTCTCGGAGGAAATCCTGCTCGAGACTTTTGATCCTTCGAGATTGGTTCGAAGAAAGAAGGAAAAAAGATTTTTTGTCTTCAAAACTCGATTAAAAAACTTGGATCTATTCTATTCTTGATTATCGATTTAGGATCAGTAGCGTAGAAACTTCATTTTTCCAATTGCAACGTTATGCCATAAGTGAAAAACTGGTCTTCTGGTTGTTCAATTCACGTAAACGTGGGTGAACATGTTTAATTTATCGTTGCCTATCTTTGGAACGTTTTAAAGTATTCCTTGCGTTTTTTTTTTTTTTTTTTTGCATTTATTCCTTAAACTCTTGGATGAAAATCGGAAAGCGAGAAAATTCGCCTCGTTCGTTCATATAGCTTCGTTTATTTTGCAATACCAAAAGTTGAAAATATCCTTTTTTCACGCGCGTGATAAAAAAAAAAGATCCTTATCGATTACATAAATTATTAGCAACGACGATAATAAATAAATAAATTACAATAAAATAAATAACAATCGAAGCGTATATAGGGGCTTCGAGGTTAAACGTTTAATTACGTCTCGTTTTCATCGTCTCTCTCGGTGATCGGCAGCTCCGTGGGTGGCTCGGTTGGCCATTTCCCTACAGTTGCGGCAGGGTCGATAGTGGACGGTGGTGGATCCGTGATAACAATCGGCCCGAGAGGTTCGACCGTGTGCTCCTCGTTCTTCACCTTATTTTTATCCTTCTCGTCCAAACTTTGAGGCCTCTCGTTCGCTTCCGGCTGCATCGACATCATTTCAGGCCTCGGCTCCGAATCCGGCATCGGCGGCGTCAACTCGGTCGACGGTACCATCGTTTTAATCTGACACTGACGACCCATATAGCCAAGAGGGCACACGCATCTGGGAGGAAAATTTATTACCACGTTTACCAGCGCTTGCCACGATATCGGTGTCAAAGGGTTTACCTGTAATTCCCGTCCTCCTTGGTCATGCTGATACAAGTCGCGTTATTGCGACAGATTGTCGGATGCTCGTCGCAGTAAGTCAGCTTCTCGTTGCATAGATCACCCGCCCATCCGGCCTCGCATCGGCACTCCCACGGCCGTTTACAGGAACCGTGAACACAGCCGGGATAAGGGACGCATTCGGTGCAGTTCGGGCCTGTCCAGCCCACGCGACACCTACACGTCCCCGGACGACGGCAACCACCGTACTCTCGGCTGCATCCTTGCGAGCAAATCGCTGCGCGGATGGGGGAACGTTCGAGATAAACGAAAGCTTAGATGAGAGTTATGCGCGCGTGGAGGAAGATACGCGCGGAGGGAGCTTAGATTAGAGGAAAGAGGATAACCTACGCGTTTGACAGAGAAGCCCGGTCCAGCCAGGTTCGCAGCGACACTCGAGCGGGCCCTGACACGTCCCGTGCACGCAACCTGGCAGAACGGCGCATTGTTTGCACTTTGGCCCTTGCCAACCCAACCGACATCTGGAAGAAAATTTCTTTAGCATCTTATTTAATTATCCTGTGGATCTCGTGAAATTTAACCCTTTGAGAGTGATTTATCCTAGATTTCGTCGATCTTAGATTGATAATAAGGGCGCAATGTTGATTTGGATGGATAGATTCCTCGGCTCTTTATTTCTTTATCTTAGGAAATCGTATAAAATCATTTTGCGTTACCATTTTACGTTGCTGATTGTTGAGACAATCGCAAAGGATTAAATTCTTTTTAATTAATAACGCAAATTACCCATCTTGTTGAATAATAAATCGAATAAGAATTTGTTAAATTTAAACTGTGAACGCTTTATCAAAGGAGGAATCACGATCAATATTCTTATACAGCTCTTCTCCAAGCTTTTAAATTATCAGCTACGAACGTTAATGGGTCGATTCGAACGGACGATTCCATACCCCTCGATCCATCGGCTACCGGCACTGATAACCGCTCATTACTCGGCTATTACGCCTTACCTGCATTCCCCGGGCTTCTCACAGTACCCTTGGCTGGACAGACAATCGGAGGCGCAGATCGGTTCCGAGCAGAACATGCCTTTCCATCCTGGATCGCACGAGCACTCGAAACTCACGTTGCAGCTAAAAGTGAGAATTCAATCGTTTCGTTCGATCTTTTTCACCGATCGTGAAATATCTCGTGGGAATAAAGGGTCGTTAAATGCGTTCAAAGTGCATGTTATTAAAGTTTCAACTAAGTGAGGCGAAAATCGATACGGTTGTTCGATCGATTTTTATTCGTTGAAATGGATACAATGGTTACTGGCAACCGCATCGCTTCTAGAATATTATATTACTCGAGAAATTGAAACCTGAATCGGAAGATGATCGCTATTCACTTCACGCAATCTTATTAGGTTAACGGGTAACTTGTCATCCGACTTATAGCTTGCATCTGTCCTCGATCATTTCGATCCAACGAACCGTGTAAAAAAAAAAAGGTAAGAAAGGATTTTTACCTGCCATGTTGACATCCTGGCAGAGCTACACACTTGTCGCAAAGCTCACCGTAGAAACCCAATTTGCAGCGACATTCGCCTGGTCGACGGCAGTAACCCTGAAGAGGGTCGCATCCTTTTCGACAGATTGGTACGTCACACAAATCGCCAGTCCATCCTGGGAAAGAAAAAATTATAGGAAGAAGAATAATATCTATCTTCGTTTTATGTCGCGTATCGATTTCATCGATCTTTCTCTCTCCTTATATATTTCTTTCCTTTTTTTTTTTTTTTTACCTTGATAAACATTGTACCTCTCCTGCCTCGTCGCAGACGTAGTGCGAGTTTGGATGCTGAGAGGCTGGTATCTCACAGGCTTGCTTCTTCCATTTGGGAACGTATCTGAATCGAGCGTTGTTTTATATTAAAATAATCGGCTAAAATTTCTGATAAAAATTACACGTATCGATTACGTGCAATTTATTTTAAACGGTCGAGAAACAGGGTACACATTATTGCGTTAGCGGTTGGGCAATTTAATAGACGTGCGGTTTCAATTAGTATGGAGGTACTTAAAATATGTAGAACAGTGGAACGGGCGATAAGAAAGGGAAACAGGGTAAGATAAGATCGGTAACTATCCACCAATTATACGCAAAACAATACCCACATGATACGAAAGCAACGCACTCTGATCCCCGATAACCACCTTATTATTTTCTATAATCAACTTTTCGCATTCTCATAATAACAAACCTCCCCCCTCCCCCTCTCCCGTTCAACGTATAATTAACACAATTATTGTATACAAATAAAATCGGATAATTAACGCGTTCTAAACTATTCAAAATTCATATAGCGTTAATGCGAGATTAATATCGGACAGATCTCGACGAATTTTGAAACGAGCGTTCCCTCGAAAGCGGATGGAAGATAAAAATCGAATTACCGGAATCGAAGTATCGCGCGGTATATAATTAAAACGATAAATATAGAAAAACGGAGCGAAGATCGAGTGGATTATACAATACCTGGGTCCAGCGGCGAGCGTAGGAAAAGGCAGCACACCTATGCCGAGTAACGCGGTAACGCTTGCTGTATGTCCATTGTTCAGAACACCCAGTTCACCGGGACCGATCAAGAGGCTGAGGCAGGCGAGCAGCAGTATCATCTTTGCTTGACTTCCAAGTCAAGACTGAGGGCGACCGTGTCCAAGGCTTCGGCTTGGATAACGGGACCTTGTTCGAGGTCACGGCACACTTTTTCACCGTACCACCATCGCGTCCTCGTCCACCTCTGTGTGCGTGTATCGAGCGCACACGGTAGCTACTCTGCCCGCTCACACCAAGGGAGACCAAGACAGACCTCTCTCCCCGATTGCGTTTGACTTTTTTTCCTCGGCTCACGACGAGTTTATTATTATTCGCCCGGGAAAGTTCAATGCACCTCGATGCCTCGGGAGGAGGCATTCCCCTCTCGCCAGAGTTCATCAGTGGAAAGGAAATGGGCGTCCCTGCAACTTTCTCGGGAGTTTACTTCTGGATGGAATTCGGGCGAACTCCCCGCAGGCCGTTCGTTTCTTCGCGAATAACAGTAGTTCTCCGATTTCTTTCGGGAACCAGTAATTGGAACGATCGTCGTTTCTTTATTAGACAGGTCCTGGCCAATGTCTTGTGTCTTGGGTAACGGGAATTTTTCTTTCTTTTTTTTTTACCCGTGTCGAAAAAGAAATCCTCTCTCGCGTGTCCAAGGAATAAAAACGTGTGTTCGATTCTCGTTGTAATCTAAATCCATTCGATACGGGTTCCCTTCTAAATTCAATGAGCAGGTCACTTGGAACCCTCGTTTTTTTTTTTTTATTATTTTAATCCTGGGATAAGGAGGCGAAGCTGGGATTTCGGGGTTTTATTCGTCGGTGTTATTAAAACTAAGGCGCTTATCCTCGAGCGATTTTACAGAAAGATAATATAGTATATATTTCAGGATTTGTTGTTGTTAGGGATTTTCGTTCAACGTACAACGAGCAGGATTATTGGTAGAAGTAAGTTTTATTTATAGTTTAAGAACTATGTACAAGTTTGTCGAGCTACTATTTACAAATAAATACAACGTGCTGCGCGCCTCGCACCGGGGCGCTTATTCTTCGTTCTTCATTTTCAGTTTGATAGGAACTCTTTTACAGTCTGTTCGTTTCGTGTTGAGCAAGGAGCAAGTTATTTAACAATATCCTATTACATATACAAAAATAGCTAGGTATCTTTTGTACATTTTTCCACAGAGTAGAAATTTACAGAAATATTTGTCGTGATTAACACTCTTTCAAAGAAACTTGTTATATTTTACACGATAGGTAGTGACTTTAAATTTACTCCAATTTACTCCGATATATCCTATACCTACGCAAATCTACGGAATTTACATCGATTAATAAAATCGCACACATTCAGAAATTTTTACATCGTTTCTTCCCTATCTCGTTCCCTCTCCGGATTCACCAGAAATATCATCCGTCAGAGCATACGCGTATCCCTGAGTTGTCTCGCGATGTTCGTCACCGTTGTCGACGTTTCATCGAACTCGTCCACAATAGCAAAAAAAAAAGAAAAAAAAAAAAAAAAGGAAAACAAAAGCATTGGTCTTCAAACGTGTTCGGCCATAATCTTCTCCTTTCTGTATATCTTGGTGAGCACGAAACCGGCGATGAAGAGGACGGCGCAACCGAAAGCCGCGTATATGTCCCACGAATACAATACCTGGACGGGTGTCTTTATCCTCTTAACCTGGACGAAATTAGGCGTAGTGTCCACTTCGATGGGGAAGCTGCCTGGGCCGTCGTTCGAGGCGATCCTCACGAGATATTTCGTGCCGGGGAGGAGGGAAATCTGGGCGCAATTCGAGTCGGTCACTTGATTTCCCATAAGGCCGCCCGTCTCGGGCTCCCACGAAACCACGTACGATTCCTTGCCCTCCGCGCGATCCTTCGAATCGATCCTGTCGTTGTAAGCGTTGCCGGTAGATGGAGCGTTGTCGGCCTCGAGATCGTCCTCCGTTGTTTTATCGTCCTTCCTCCTGAAGAAGAATCTTCGAAATATGTCGTCCGAGATTTGCGAGTCCTCCTGGCTCCTCCACTCGGCCAAAACTTTCTCCCCGTACTTTTCCAGGAAGAACTGTCTCACTCGGTTGTTGAATCTGACCTGTTGCTGAGATCTCTGTTTCTGAAGCTGGGTCTGCACGTCCTTCCAGGAGATGGTCGCCTCGTACAAGGGGCCCTCCTTCAACGACTCCAATTTCGGGACCCATTCTTGCCAACTGTAATGCTTCATCCCGTTCTCCATCGCGACTATGATCCACGTGTCGGGTCTCAGGCTTGGTGTACGCTCACCCGGATAGTAGCCGGCCACTCTCCACTGCTTGTACAGCTTGCGCATCACCACGGCCACGTCGAATTTGTCGAGATCGAGGGGCGCCTTCTTAGGAGCTGGTAACATGGACGGTAGATACTTCTCCTCTATTCTGGTTTTTCGATAGGTGCAGGCCGTCTGACAGGCTGGGCACTGGAAGAAGATACGTTTGCATTATGTCTCTCTTTTGTTTTCTTTTTTTACGGAAGAACAGGTAGTGTTGTCAAGATCTTGGAGATTATTTTTTTCGACGATGAAAAGGAACGAAGAACAACGATTCTTCTGCGAGTTCGATTCGATTCATTTTAAAGAATCACAAAGAATTTCGCGTAAAAAAAAAAGATAAGCTTCTTTTATCTTGCGAAAATGCTCAAACTCTATATATATATATATCTCGTTCTCTTTCGACCTTCGATTTAAACAGAACCAGTCGTAACCTGGTAGTTGGCCAAATATTTGAAAAAGATTCGTATCTGGGCGAAGTTCGATACACCCGAGAGAGTTTAAATTCGTTGGACGCGCGACAAAGCGACTCGACCTTCCGTGAAAATCGACAGGTAGCCGTTTCTAAGCATTTTTCCCAGACCGTACGATCCTCGCCTCGAAATTCCCTTTATCGAACGTTCCCTTTCCTATCCGTCTACTCCCGACGCCGTTCACCCTACATTTCTCGCTTTCTTCTCTCCGCCTTTGAAATTTTCAAAGTTAAACCCTCCTCCCCTCAGGCGTTCCCTCCGCTTGATCGATCCGAATTTTCCGCCGCTTTGACACGGTCCAGATTTTTCGAACGCGACTCGAACGTGAAACACTCGGATATCGATCGACGAAATTGCGATACGAGTGTTTCTTTGCGAGTTCTAGAGAAACTAGAATTAAACGAACATTTCCTCTTCCTTTCACGCGAGATTTCTTCGTTCGTCTCTTTTCTTAGCCCTTTCCAATTCGAGTTGCTTTGACGGTGTTTATTTGAAAAATAAAATATCGATGCTACGTTTCCAGAGAAAGATACTCGATAACTTCGATCAGCTCGTACGATACGTGGCATCTTATGCAGAGCGATTACAGCCAAGGGGAGCGAAAATTCTCCTCGCGACTAATCCAAAAGGTTGGTTCACCGCGTAAATTTACTTACATGAAGATACTGGTCGCCCTCGCAAATGGTTCTTGTCTTCTCCCACCGGTTCTCGAGGGCCTCGCAGTACTGCCAACACTGTAACATAGGAGAGAGAGAGATGTATATATATATATAGAGAGAGGAGAGAGAATGAAAATAAGAAACGAGAGAGAGAGAAGAAAAAAAGAACGGCGTATACACGTGAAAGAAGCGGGAGAGCGGTGGGCGGAGGGGAGTTTGAGCGTTGAACAAAAAGCTGTTGCACGCACGGGACGCACGGGTAAAAAGGAACGATGGTACGTAGCGAGGGGGAAGATGGGGCGACGAAGAAACGCGGAGAAGGAAAGGGGAAAATAAGAAGCATCGGGCGGACCGAGCGTTGAATCGAGCGATTTAAGCGGCCATGGAGAGGACCAAGGAGGAGAGGAAGAAGGTGCAGCCGGGAAGGAAGAGAAGAAAAAGGGAGGGAGGGAGGGAGAGAGAGAAAGAGAAGGAGAGGGGGGCCGAATTAGCTCCAACCTGTTTCAGGCATAACAGGCACCGTCGTTGTTGTCTTCATATTTATTAGGATACCGTCTCTCGTGGAGCCCTGTTTCCAGGTTTTTTTTTCTTCTTCTCTTAAAAGAGAAGAGAGAAAGAGAAGGAGGGGGAGAGAGAGAGAGAGAGAGAGAGAG